CTCTCTCACCTCTCTCTCTCTCTTTCTTTTGCTCATTCTCCTCACTTCTCTCTTGTTCTTCTCTCATCTCGAGTATCTGTCACCCACTCTTCTCTGCTCCTCTCTCTCTGTTAGTGCTAGTCTCCCTTCGCCCTCCTATCTCTCTTTCTCTCTCTTGCTTTTCCTACTCTACTTCTATTCTCCGCCCACACACTCTGTCTCTCGCTCTTCTCCTCTGATTCTCCCTGCTCCTCTCTCTCTTCTCCTCCTCCTCTCCTCCTCTCCTCCTGCGCCCTACCTCCTCGCCCTCCTCCATTCTTATCCCTCCCCTCCGATATGCTCCCCTGCTCTCTCTTCTTTCCTCCTTAGTTCTCCCTTCCCCCGTTCCTCGTCTCTCGCTCGTCTCTCCCTCTTTCTCTCGTACTCTCCTCTTCTCTCTCTTCGTGTTCTCCAGTCTCTCTCTCGTCTCTCTTCATGCTCTCTCCTTCTCAGCTCTCTCTCTCTCTCTCTCTCTCTCTCTCTCTTCTCTCTCTCTCTCTCTCTCTCTCTCTCTCTCTCTCTCTCTCTCTCTCTCCGCTCTCTCTCTCTCGCTCTCTCTCTCTCTCTCTCTCTCTCTCTCTCTCTCTCTCTCTCTCTCTCTCTTCTCTCTCTCTTCTCTCTCTCTCTCTCTCTCTCTCTCCTCTCTCCCTCTCTCCCTCTCTCTCTTCCTCCTCTCTCCTCCTCCCCCTCTCTCTTTCTCTTTTTCTCTTTCTCTCTCTCTGCTTTTCTTTCTATTTTTCTCCCTTCTCTCTCTCTTCTCGCTGTCTTTCTCTCCCTTCTCTCTCTCTTCTCTCTTTTCTGTCTTCTCTCTCTTCTTTCTCCTCCCTTCTCTCTCTCTTCTTGCTTTTCTTTCTTCTGCTTTTCTCTTTCTTTTTCTCCTCCTCCTTTCTCTCTCCCTTTCTTTCTCCTTTCCTTCTCTCACCCCTCTTTCTCCTTCTCTTCTCCTCTCCCTCTTTGTCTCCTTCCTTCCTTCTCCCCTCTTCGCCTTCCTTCTCTCTCCCTCTTTCTCCTTCCTTCTCTCTCCCCTCTTTTTCTCCTTCTTCTCTCTCCCTCTTCTTCTTCCTCCTTCCTCTTCCTTCCCTCTTCTCCCTTCTTTCTCCTCCCTCTCTTTCTCCTCTTTCTCCTCCCTTTTCTTCCCTTTTCTCCTCTCCTTCCCCTCTTTCTCCTCCCTTTATCTCCCCTCCCTCCCTTTTTATCTCCCTCTTTCTCTCCTTTCACTCTTCTCCTTTCTATCTCCCCTCTTTCCTCCTCCATCCTTTTTATCTCCCTCTTCTTTCTCCTCCCTTTTCTATCTCCCCTCTTCTTCTCCTCTCCTTTCTTTTCTTATCTCCTCCCCTCTTTCTCCTTCCCTTTCTATTTCCCTCTTTCTCTCCTCCCTTTCTATCTCCCTCTTTTTCTCCTCCCTTTTTTCTCCTCTCCCTTTCTACCCTCCCTTTTTATCTCCCCTCCCTCTCCTCTCCCCTCTTCTCCCTTTTTATCTCTCCCCTCTTTCTCCTCCCTTTTATCTCTCCCTCATTCTCCCTCTCTCTTTCTCCTCCCTCTTTATCTCCCCTCTTTCTCCTCCCTCTTTATCTCCCTCTTTCTCCTCCCTCTTTATCTCCCTATCTCCTCTTCTCCTCCCTCTTTATTCCCTCTCTTCTCCTCCCTCTTTATCTCCCTCTTTTCTCCTCTTTCTCCTCCCTCTTTATCTCCCCTCTTTCTCCTCCCTCTGTCTCCCTTTTTATCTCCCTCTTTCTCCTCCATCTGTCTCCCTTTTTATCTCCCTCACTCCCTCCCTCTCTCTCCTTCTTTTATCTCCCTCTCCCCCTTTTATCTCCCTCCCTCTCTCCCCTTTCTTTATATCTTTCTTATTGAATGCTTTGCTTCAAAAGGTACGAGTCCTTATCAGGAGAGAGAGATTGCAGTATAAATAGTATAAATCCAATTTGGCCCACTTTCTAAATGTGCCACTTGTATGTTTTTAAGCGCTTTTTTCCTTAATATCTTCTTAATTAAAATGCAGTACATTGATATTGAAAACAGTTCTGAGTGTGAATTATTTCATTAACTTGCTTAAGCCCGATCAGTTTGTCGTTGGTCTGTTTCATATGTGACATTCCATCTCATCAAAGATAGTAGGGTATCTAATCTTAAGTCTCCGTAATCTATGACGTTACTCATACACTGTAGAGAGTACGCATTAGTCAAGGAGAGGCTCTGAACTTGAGTAATTGTGGCTTCATTCAGTGAATACATGTTCAAAGTTATTATTATTATAAGTATCGGATTTTGGAAGTGAAGGCTATGTATGCCGAGCCTCCAAGTAAGTTCAGTTGTTATGATGGTCTTTTAATATTAAGAATATTGATGTGTGTTTATGAAGTATGTGGGAAGCTGAAAGGATTTTGATCAAACTACCAGGTGGTACTCCTATTTTTAGTTTATATTATAAGTATTCCAGGAAAGTCTGAAATGCCTGGTTGGATGTGAAAAATGTTCAGTCTTAATTAAAGGAAGTGTTTGGCAAGCAAGTTCCATACTTCACTCCATGATGCAACACAAGTGGAGGTAGCAATAACACTTGGTCACCTTGAACATGACTTTACATGCAGTGGGTTTGCTTGTATCTGATACAACAAAGTTGTGAAAGGTTATCTTTTATTATCCTTTTTTAATGTTATATGGATCATCTTGATTTAGAGTTATTACAAAAATCGTGCTCCAGCTATTTTATTTATGAATTCTTGAGGTATAAAAGGGTTGCAGTTTATGATCACTTTTGATGAGGTGGTGTAATAGGAATACTTGAAGTAAGATGCAAAGAAAAGCACAAACAGGAAGATACTGATTTGTTTTGAAAGGAAATTCAAAACTCAGTGCCTTTGAAACTTGACGCATCATAGCTCTTTCAAAATATTCAACTTTTATATTACTTAGGCAATATTTGGAAATGTTTGATTTACATACGAGACCAAAAGCTAAAACATGATTTGAGAGTATTTGACGTATTTGAGAGACTGATATTTGAAGATCAAAATAGGAAACTGAGGAATAGACTCGCTCCTTTGATCATGCGGTAATATAATTAATGATACAAGAATTCCAAGGTGCATTCTATTATTGTTATTATCGCAGTTTTTGTCATTATTGTTGTACCCTATTTCTTTTAGTTTTGTATCATTTCTTGCATTCCTTATTTGCCCAATGCATTGTTCTCCCCCCTGCTCATCACTGGCTCCTCCCCCTTCACTATTCCGTTCTTTTGTTTTATCTTTTTATCTCATTCTTCTTACCTGTTAGTTTTAATTGTTTACTATTAATTATTACTAATACTGTAAATAGCTGGCCAATATAGATAATGGTAGTGTACAGTATGACTAGAGGGTAATGATACAGAAGTTGCGCAAAGGATTTTTTTCTACAGCTATTAGGATACATAATTATGTAGTTGCAAACACAGATAGGGCCTTTGATCGTGTAAAATAGTATATGTAGCGTTGTTGCAGTAATGTTCGCACTTCAGCAATATAGCTAATGAAATGATTCTTACACCTATTTAGATGTTGCAATTTCAGTGTTTTTCATAATTTTTACTTTTACAATTATTACTGTTGTTAGTATTAGTGGTTCTGTTGTTGTTAGTATTGTTATTGTTTTTGTCATTATTGTTCCTGTTACTTGTTTAGTTACAATGCTTTTTATAATGAGTTGCATAACATTAATTTTTTTTAAATCCTGGAAAACTGTTGTCCATTAAATAAGGTAAAGATGTTTAGGGGGGGGGGGGGGAATGTAAGGTATATAGAAAGAAATTTGAATACAGTTTAGTTAATGACTTCACATCTTTATACATTACCTTCTCATGCATACAGTCATTGGTACTTTAGATCTACCTTTCAGGATTAGCATTTTCTCTTTTAGAATGTATATATAAGGCAACTAAGTTACTTGTTTCGAAACAGATTTGAATTGAAAAGTTGACCAAAAAAAAAAAAAAAAAATCAATAAATTTCAATATTCGGGTATTCTTGCTGATGAGGAATAGATGCTACTACTGGTTTTCATTGCGTCTTTATTTGAAGACTTCATATCAGCTCAGAAGATTTTGATAAAGGTTTCATAATTTTTTTGCCATTGCAAATTTAATTTTAAGGCTATTGTTTATGTTCATTTATGGTAAAGCGAGTGTTATTTTTGTGTTAGACATTGTAATATGTGTAGTGTACAGTCTGTCCTGATGTATATTACAATGATGTGATCTCGTATAGGAGTTTTGTGCTAAATTGAATAATTTGTATTGTTTTTCTAAGAATATATTAAAAAATATATCATTAATAATGACATAATATGAAATTTCTTTCAATATTCTGTATTCATAGTGAAGTATAATTTCTATTAAGAATATAAAATAAAGGAAAACTTATTATTCCAGAACTGGCTGGGCTTAGTCGGACGGTTTACCGAGGGCTGCACAAAATGCCATTGGCAAGCCGTGCTCGTGTATATGCTGATGTTAATTCCCACAGACCACATGAGTATTGGGATTATGAATCTCATGTCATAGAATGGGGGTAAGTTTGACATTTTGATGTTTTTGTTTTGAAGGAAAAAAGAAATATAGAACAGTGATAGTATGCACCTCCTTCTCTCTCTATCTATCTGTCCCTTACAGAAGAAACATTTCAACAGTTAATTCCCACCACCCCTAATACCTGTCTGTTCTATACAGAAGAAATATTTCTAATCACTGTTCATTCTCTCCCACCATCCCTAGTACCTCAAAAATATTTATATTAATTTGATTTTCCAGACACCAAGACGATTATCAGCTTGTTAGGAAATTAGGCCGTGGTAAATATTCAGAAGTGTTTGAGGCTGTAAACATTAACAACAATGAAAAATGTGTTGTCAAGATCCTCAAGGTATGAACTTTTCTTGTGCTACATCTATCTTGCACTTGTGTTTGCATCCCTTGATATTTACTACCAGTTTTGTTGCTAATAATAGTCAAATTTTTTATTGAATTTTCCTTTGATGAATAAATATTAGCCTATTGTTATTCACACTGTTTATATGATCATATGATATCAAAAGTAATTGCCTTAAGAATCATTTGTACACATTCACTGTAAAAATGAATCATCCATTAACAAATGTAATAATTACTTTCCAAAACAGCCAGTCAAGAAAAAGAAGATCAAACGTGAGATTAAGATCTTGGAAAATCTTCGAGGAGGGACCAACATTATCACACTCCAGGCTGTCGTAAAGGATCCTGTCTCGCGTACTCCTGCTTTAGTGTTTGAACACGTTAACAACACAGACTTCAAGCAACTTTATCAGACGCTCAATGATTATGATATTAGATATTACCTGTATGAGCTCCTTAAGGTGAGTGAGATTAAGATGAAGTCGATTGTGGAATTCTTTGGTTACTGATTTTTAGAGTTCAGGATGACATGTAAAAGGGATTTTATAGTTTACGAGAGAGTGAAAAGGCGATTTTGATATTTTGCGGGAGAGTTGAAAAGGGATTTTATAGTTTATGGAAGTGTGATAAGAGATTTTATATTTTAGGGGAGAGAGAAAAGGGATTTTATAGTTTGTGGGAGAGTGAAAAGGGATTTTATAGTTTGTGGGTGAATAAAGGTTAAAGTTAAAAACAACTATCACTATCATTGTTTAGTATCAAGGCATTTGGTAAACATTTCAACTTCCGTGCAGTTTTGCAGCATAATATTTAACCAACTCTTTAGGCTCCTGTACATTAGGTAATCATAATTTGTAGTATATTGGCTTCAAGGAAGGGTACATAAAAATGAATCACATTTTCCAATTTTATCTATAATTGATTATTTAGTCAGCTATAGCATCATTGTTGTGAGGTTGAAGCAATAGTCATTTTTTTTTTCTCTCTTGCACATAAAGTTTATGGTTACTTTGTATATTTATTTATTAATCTCTGTTTATTGACTTTTTTTTTTTTTGTACATTGGAAATTCTTTGAAAATTTGTATAAAGGTAGTTCAGATTATTTGCTATTGGATGTGTATATCACATGAACTTGTAAGTAATCCATATATATATATTTTTTTATTATTATTATTATAAAAAGTATAGATTTTTATACATGGAAATTTTTTGATTTTGCAGGCATTAGATTACTGTCACAGTATGGGAATTATGCATCGAGATGTCAAACCTCATAATGTCATGATAGACCATGAGAACAGGAAATTACGCCTCATTGATTGGGGCTTGGCAGAATTCTATCACCCAGGCCAGGAATACAATGTCCGGGTGGCATCCAGATACTTCAAGGGCCCTGAACTTCTTGTAGATTATCAGGTCAGTTTAGTTTTCTCGTCGTGTATGATTTTTATTGTCCTTTATCAGGCTTTTAATATATTGAGAAATGAGTGACGTGTTCAAGCGAATTAATCACTATGCATACCCACATTACATTTTCAATCGAAGTCTAACAGTCAGTTCCATGCCAGTCTACACTTCTTTACGCTGTTCTACAGCACAGTACCTCATACTGTACTATTATAACTTAATACTGCACCTACTCACCCACACACACTTGCTCCCTTCAGCAGCTGGCTCATTTACTGTTTAGTCTATATATATAAAAGACATAATCCTTTTCTTTGTGATTTTTTTTTTCTTTAATGTTTAATGAATGTAGATTAATAGTGGTGAATAAATTGCAAAAGTTAAAAAAATTGTAGATAATTATATTTACTTTGTTTTCATTTCATGAAGTTTTTCTTTCTTTTTCCTTCCTTTCTCTCTAGATGATGATATTTACTCTTTGTTTACATTCCACAGATGTATGATTACTCATTGGACATGTGGTCACTGGGCTGCATGCTAGCGAGCATGATCTTCCGCAAGGAACCATTTTTCCATGGGCATGACAATTATGACCAATTGGTGCGCATTGCAAAGGTCTTGGGGACTGAAGAACTTTATGAATATGTTGAGAAATATCAAATTGAGCTAGATCCTAGGTTCAATGATATTCTGGGAAGGTAAGACTGTTGTCTTTTCTTACTGTTGATTTCATAAAGGAAAATGAAAGCTGATGAACTCTAGAAGCTATAAAAAGTTGTTTATAATTTGGAGGCAAAATTATTTTGCTTAGAAAATATTCAGAAGTTGCATATTGGATGCTTTATCTTGAAATATAGAAAGTTTGAATTTATCTGGTGCCTTTAGTGTTTTTTTGCTCCATTTTATTCTGGATATGATAATTGATTATTAAATATTATCAACTACAGGCATTCCCGGAAGCGGTGGGAAAGGTTTGTCCATAGTGAAAATCAGCATCTAGTTTCTCCTGAAGCACTAGACTTTTTGGACAAATTACTGCGTTATGATCACCAAGAGCGCCTGACAGCCCACGAAGCCATGGAACACCCATACTTCTACCCTATTGTTAAGGAACAGGGCCGACAAATGAACTCGCCCACGCCTGCCCCACCCGGTGCCCCTCTAGCTGGAGTTCCTGAATAGATGTGGTGTGTAACACATTGTTGGTTCATATATTCTCTAGATCCTCCAAAGAAAACCTTGGACATGGATTTAATTTTGATAGATATTTGTACTCTTACCAAATCCCATCAACCATATTACCTAGTCAGCTGCTGGTGACTGGAGGTTACGAAATTTAACAAAATTAAAAGGATGTGTATGAAATTTACAGGCCAAATGTACAATGCAATGTCTTCTTTTTTTCTATTTTAACCTGGCCTTTAGTTCAGCTTCAAAAAAGAAAAAAAAGAAATGCTGCAGTCTTATATTCAAGGACGAGTCAGATCCAATGAATACTGCACACTTACTTTGTTTATTAGTTTCTTTTCACTCCCTCAGATAAAGAGGTAAAGTATCTACCAACCCAGTGGAGCAAACATTACCCCAGCCTTATGTGGAAGTGACTTGGTTGCTGGGCCCTTGCAGCTGATGCACTAAGTTGATTACATTGATCACAGAAGGACATGTACCCACTGATAAATTGAGAAGGGAAGACCAATTTAGCCCCCTGAAGATTTTAAGAAAATTAAGTGTGTGGAGCAGTGCAGAAATGCTCCAAGGTAACCCAATAACTCAATTATTTTGATAGGTATTGCTTAAGTTGTAGGAGGTGGAAGATTATATGCAATTTATCAAAAGTCATTGTGTCAGTACTAAGCACTGAACAGGGATTTGCAGGAACTGTGATTCAAGATCATGTTTTAAGTTAAAAAGGAAAATTAGGAATCACATGCTCAGTTCACAGCTGTAAGCTGTCATTTGATTTTCACATTTTTTATTCCATAAAGCTCACTTTTTATTTTTATGGACTGATTTTTTTTTTTTTTTCTTTTTTTTTTTTTTTGCTATGTAGCATTTGAATAATAAGATGCTGTAACCCTTCAAGCACAGACTCAACCCGGGACTTGCTTATTTGGATGTTAACTGACTTGAGTTTGGATACGTGTAGCAAATTGGAGTAAAATTTACCATCCTTCACTGGTGCAGTTACTCTACAACTCTACCATGCAAATGAGATAGGACATCATTAAATGAATATCATGCTTGTAAATAACTCATCTTTCATTTGGTCTAACCTAAGGATGTTACTAAATTTTTGTTGCAGTTTCTGGAGTAATAGTTGTTTTAAGTATTGACAAATTATGAGTAAAAGTTGTCAGGCCAATTCCTCTATAGACAGTTGTTCTGTGTGTGACTGAACAATATTCATTGTAAATGCTATTAAGGAAATCCCTCTTTCTTATGGTTATTAAAATGTTGTAAGTAATATTGATTTTCCTTTCCTTTAATTTTGAAGACATATTTTATAAAGGTGAGAAGAGGCATGGATCTTGTATTATAGCTCACTGATTACACCTTTGTTCATTTTCCCTTCATTTCTTGCATTCACTGTATTACGATCAATTTGTGTAATGTCTCGGTTCATTGTTAAGCATGGAAGGAAGGAAAGCAGGTGGTCATTCTGCAAGAGAAATGCATCATTAGCGGTATATCTTCTTACGAGTTGTTTTAAGAGGAAAGACAAAGTTTCCGATGTGTGTTGAGGATACAGGTTATGAATTCCACAAAGATTGTCATTTACAGAGATGTTACCTTTGAATATTGAAAAATAAATGAATAAAAACAAACCAATATGTTGTGAGTTTAACTAAAAAAGAACATCCAAAAGAAAATTTAAGAGGCATCTTACAAGGACTGATGTAACGTACGAAGTGTAAGGCTGTGTACAAGTAATTTATGCGAGGACGGTTTAGAGTATTGGGCTAGAATGGTTTATGCGTTGAAATTCTGAAGAATTGGGCCAAAGATTATATATTTTTAGCCATGCCTGTTCACTTGTCCTGTATGAATTTATTTGCTTGGAAAATTTACTATGGTTCTCCCTCACAGTATTTTACATCATTTCCAAAAACATGTAAAAAAAAGTGAAAACCTAAGTGAAAAGTTGAAAGAAATATGAAGGCCTCATTCTTCAGTTTGGTCTCACAAGTGATGTGAAGCCCTTTTTCTTCCTACAAAATAAGTGGTGCATTAGGGTTTTTCAAGAGGCAGTTAAGGTGACTTAACTTGTAAAAATTATTTACTTGTATCCTATCATAGAAACTACTGTGCAGTGGATACAAGTTGAGAAAATCTTTTGGAATCTTAGCAGTTGCACTCATACAATAATAGTGACGGCAGAATATTCAGTGTCCTGTTTATTGATCTGCAATTCTCCACAATGCTTTAATGGATGGATATCTAACTCCCTTACCTAAACCACCATAGCCTTTTCCCTCATCAACCTTTACCCAACTTCAACCTTTCACCATTACTCTAGATAGTTGACGCATAGCAACTATCACATGACATCCCCCTTTACTATACCTTCCTCTAGTGCTATATGACCTTAGATGTCTAGCACATTTATTTTGCTTTTAACCATTAATGGATGGATTTCATCCATATTCTAGTATGTACAAGAAAAAGGCAAACAAGTATGAAACGGAGATATCTAGTTAGTTATAATAGCAGATATCTAGTGAGAGAAATGTTTTTATAAGAAGAAAATGGGGTACTCGATTTTGTCAAGACTTTAATAAGGTCGAGGAAAAGAATCAAAGGAATGTATACCGTAATTACTGCTTGCAATATGTATAAAGCCTGCCAAGCTTCATCAGAACAGTCATGGGAGAAGTGTACATAGTGATTTTGTGGTACGTCATTTATTTATGTATACTGTAAACCTGAGACAAACGTTTTTATTAAAAAGAATTCCTAAACATTTCATCCTTACTTTTTGACCTCTTCTTCTTTTACTGAAAGACTAGTCAATGGGGGTAACTGATGTAATTATTAAAAAAAATTACTTGGATCCGGATCACCACCAAAATTTAATAGAATGTAAGACTAAGACACACCTCTGTTAAAGAAAAAGAATTTTTGAAAAAATCATAATTTTTTGAGTTACCCCCTGCCAATATCTTGCTCGTTGTCGTGGCTTAGGACATGGTGACTGGAGCCCAATGTAGGGATTGCCCATACCTTGGACTTCAGCCCTCGACTCAACTAATTGTGCTTGGTCGTTTCTCATCTTCCTTTCATCATCTTTAACCTCTTGTCCCATTTGTAAGGTGTGAGAGCCGTGTTGAAAGGATGAAAGGCTGGCTTTATGTCCGTCATGAACGGCCTCCAGGAGCCATGGACACGGTATTCCCTTGGTTAATTGCCTAGCCTTTACCTCATATGGGGACCTTGAGGTGTAGACCGTTTCTTTTCTCCCATTTTATTCAGACTCACCATGGCCAATAATGAAGATTCTTTATTATTAATAGGGGCATTAAGGTTTACCCCTTAACCAACTAGCCTATCTGAATTTGATTTTGATGTTTTTTCGACCCCTGCCCCTCCTTTGACCACGGCTCTGGCCACTGATATTAATAACCCTCTTCGACGTTTACTGACAACTCGATCCATTCTGAACCACCCACCCAGGTTATCACTCAACCTTCAGAATGCACCCCTTCCTCTCTCCCAACATTCTCTTCTCCATCTCCTTTCTGTACAGTCTTCTTCAGTGGCTACCCCCTCTTCCCTTATTACTACTCTTCATCTTTATTACCCCCCCAACCCCCCACAGAACTACTACACTCTACACCACCCCATCTTCCTCCTGCCCTTGTCCTTCTGCTGCCTTTACCTCTACAAACCTTTTGAGTACTCTCTTTGACCCTGCCAAGTTGGATGAAGACGTCCCACAATTCCTAAACATGAACCAAGAAAATGTTTCTCTCCTCATCCATCCTCCAATCCCTCTTTTCCTAGTCTCTCTACATTTAAAGTATTTGCATCCTCCTCCTCCCTTGCAAGTTCCTTCCTACCCCTCTTCCTCCTACTCTTTCCTAACAAACCCATCCTCTCCTTTTCCATGTACACCATTTCCTTTTCGTTCTTCATTATCCTTACCTCCCCCACCTGGATACTCACGTGAATCCCTTCTGTTGTAACAGTGTCCCCCGGATTCTTCCCCTCCTGACGCTCTTCCTGATACTTCTCCCCCTTCCCCAGTCCCCTTATCTCATCCCCTAGACTCTTCTTCTTCTCCAACAGCCATCTCTATCCATATTACCCGTTGGTTATTTCTTAACAGCTATTTTACCAGTTGTTCCATAGAGCAATGTTACTATAGCTTCTCCTAATGCTATATGAGCTTTGATGTCTAGCACATTTATTTTCTTGTCATTATTACTTACTATAGCTTCCCCAACAATAGGTGCAGCCCATTCCATCAGTCGCCCTATACCCTTAACCCTTTCCTTTATTAATGTCCGTTTATATCATTTGCACCCCCTCTTTACCCTTTTCCCTATCATACTATTATATGACACTATAACCCTTGACATTTAACACTATACTACTCGTTAACTCAATTATCCTTTTCACCACAATACTTTACCATAGTGCTACATGACCTTAGATGTCTAGCACATTTATTTGTTTCAGCCATTAACCATTCTTGAGTTACCCTGCTAACCAACAAACAAACACAAACTAACTAACCAACGCGACCAAAAACATGACCTCCTTCGTTGAGGTAATTACCATTCTGTCCTTTTGCTTTACGTTTTGAAACCTCCCATGAACTTGGTACAATATGATCCCAAACCCTCTTTACAATTCACACGAAATCAACATCACCCAGGCCTGTCGGATTTAGCACGCCACACACACACACACACACACACACACAATATCATGCTCGTCGTCGTCGTAGAGGGACCCAGGAGACTGAGACTGAGACCCAATGTTAGTGGATCACCCAAGCCTTGACCTCAGTCCTTTCCTCAATTAATTTTACGTTTTTTTCTCCTCCTTTCCTTTTCTTCTCTCTTCATCCCCTTCTGTCCACATCCTAAAGTGTGAGAGCCGTGTTGAAAGGATGAAAGACTGACTCTGTCAATCCTGAACGGCCTTCGTACTCCGTT